GGTAAGAGTTTAACTACAATTTACCATTTCAATGTTTGAAATTCAAATTTACAATACTTCTGATCTCCATCATGTCATCAACACCGTCACAGCTCACTCAGTTACCTTAATCATCTCCTCCTTCTCCAATTCTCTCTCAAGTACTCGATCGACTGCCTCTTTTCATCTCTTCTCGTCTCTTCCTTCTTCGACTCTCTCTTGAATCTTCTATCGACAGTCTCCTCTTTTTTCTTCTTGTTCTCTCTTTTTTTTTTTTTTCTATTCTTCATCCTATTTATATCCCACATGATAATCATCATAGTTGTCCGTTCCCATTCCCAAATCTGAACGGTTCCTTCTCACCCCTCCCCCTCTTCCGTACATATATATATATTATTATTATCTTTTTTTTTTACAACCCAAAATCAGTTATTACATTATTTTTTACAACCCCTAAACTATTTTTCAACATTATGCAAAAAAGTGAGAACTTTAAAGTCAAAATTTGAAAAGATAAAATAATCTCAAAAGACTACATTATAATTTTAATATTTTAGTTTATAGTGTTAGAGTTAGCTTTACAATAAAAAAAAAAATTATAATATCTTACCTATGTAATCTTGATCAAAACGTAATTCTTATTATGGCTAAAATATTTTGTGTATATTTGATTTCCTCTATATTAAAACAACTAATTACTTAAAATGTTCTCTTTTTCTTATTCTCCAATTTTCTTGGTTGTCAAATATGTATTGTATATATTTTTATTTCTGTATCTCTTTAACACATACAAAAATAATATTTCTTATTCAACTCTCTTAATTGAAATTTTTGTAATTTTATATCAATAATATTTTTCTACATAAAAACTTATATACGAAAATTTATATGAAGATGCTACCTAGATATTCAAAAAAAAAAAACGAAAAACGTGAAAACTATTTACAAGCATATATGGCTTCAAGTAGGCATCATAACAAGAGTATGCAAAGCTCTTGGGTTTCATCGTTAAACAAATGTTTGCCCAACCAAATATCGACTATAATTTATTTGTGCAAAAAAATGCAAACAATTCATGGCAACATTGGTATACGTCAATGATATAATTATTGTTTAAGGTAACATGAAGTTGATTAATGACTTAAGAACAGTGACACACATAATTGTCAATTAAGTATTCTATAAAAGAACAAGATACAGAATTAGACTGTCATTTAATTTGTAAAAAAATTCAGAATAAGAGCGTAACAAGTAAGTATATTAACAGCAAACAACAGTCACTAAACTACTCTCAAGTTTTTTTTTCAATCTTCATGCAATCAAGATGATGGTGTCAAAGTGTTTATTATATGAACTCACTAACTAAGATCGAGTGGCAACGCCTTGTTGTGGGTATACATGTATGTATATATGCATTGGGATTAAAAGGCGAAATGACACAATAAGTGTTGTAGGATGTATAAAAGTCTCGATTTCATTTATAAAATCATCTGAAATATAAATAAGATCAAAACCTTATTAGGATTTTCTCTTCAAAAAT